TGTGACCTACGAACATGACTTGACATTTACAACTCACATAACACATTACATGCAGAAATCGGAAAATGTCGCAATTTAGCGGTTCATATCCACCATACGCTTTGTAATACTTATGATACGTAATACTTACCACTCACGGTCTTGATACTTGCCTTCTTCATTTCCATTTTACCTCTTTTTCTCTTTTTCATCACCCCTCTGTCTCCTTTTCTTTTCTTCATCAGCGCTCCTTCCCCCTAGCACCCACTTGTCTTCGGGCACACTTCGCCTCGGGTTGGCCTTGAGCCTTCTGAACGCCTTGTACCTGGTATTTGATACCAGGTGGAATGATAGTGTTCCCAGACAAGCTCGACCTTTTGGGACCTCCATACAATTAGGCTTTATTAATTAAATTATTTTGATCATTTCAGCGCTAATGTTTTGCCTGCGCAGCCACTTTACAGGGTTTGTGAAGATAGCCCGACGATCAAAAACAGTTGGCCGACCGGCATAAACTCCGTATCACTAGAACTAGCACTCATCAAGCTTTCAGCTTACGAATTTTCGGCTTCGACTACACCAAATGTCTCACGGAGACACAAATGCCTGATGGTACTACCAATGTGTAGTTGAACAAACCCCTCGAGTGGTTTCACCAACTTTTGTCCGACGGACATATTAAAATTCCTACGAGATTCGCACGAATTTTTTCAGTGTTGCGTGTAGAAACTTCCCACCTTACACGTTTATTCTTACCTCCCATTGATCAACTTATGAGTTCTTGCTCTGTTTAAACTGCTACTGCACTCCTTCCTTCAGTTCTGACCCTCGTGATCTTCGTCCCACTTTTCGTCACCGCTCTTTACGGCAGCCTTCAGTATTGTTCAACTCCGTCACGATAGGCGCCTGCATTGCGGCGTCATTTCTTTTTCTTTTCCTTCTTTCTGAGTTGACAGTGCGCTTTGTTACCGTTATTCTTTTTTTTTTGTCGCTAATTTGCATAAATAAACCGTAACTCCAATGTTTTTACGTTTATTGCTATGCAGCTAATATCAAACAACCTTCCTTAAAGTTCACAGTAAGTCACCCCACACTTGTAGCTATTTGCTCCGAGCTTCGTTCGGTTCCCCGCCTCTTTCTTCCTTTTGTCAGCGCGCTTTCTGCGATGCACGTAGGAATCACCTATGCAAATCCGCCAGTCACCATGGAACTAAATTTAACTTCATGGTTTCATGTACCCCAACCGGTACAATAGGCCGACCAGATGGGCGGCCAACTGTACCGGTTGGGGTACATGAAAGCCACATGAAGAGCAGGCATACAGCAAAGCTGAATTTAGACTATCTAAATCGCACCTCTGCGGGAAACATCCTCATGAAACTTCAACTCCGGTTCCCGAATTGGAAAAATCCCCGTCAAAACTTTCAAGTGTACGTAAAATAAGATCTAGGCTTCGATGGAAACTAAATATGAACATAAATTAAACATAAAAATTTTCACAAAATCTTAGTTTTTTTTATCAAATGTTACCCTAGTTTGGGAAGCTGCCAACGACTTCCTGTTTGAACTTTCATGCGTATGTACTTGCGATCTAGGCATGCTCAAGAACTGAATTTAAAAACACTGAATTGCATATGGACAGAGGACACCTTCCCATAATTTTAGCCTCGGCTTTTCTGACTTAATCAGTATTTTTCAGGCCAAAAGTTTGACGTTAGTACAAGAGGCGATGCAAACGCGATTGAAAGTTCCTACCACATTTCAAGGGTAGCAACTGGCAAGGGAACACAATGACGGAAATTTAGCACTTGCCGAGTTGATCTACCCAGACACACAAGCGCTTCACGAGTCTCACAATATGCATTTTTGTTAACTGCTGCAACGCAACAGAACTGCATTGAAAAAAAAAAAACCTTTGAGAAATAGGGAACTAGTACCTTTAATTTGGCCGGCATTTCCTGGGAGGCAAGCCGGTCACATTCTACTGTCCAAATTCGCGGACTCACCCATTTTTTCACATATCTGAAACAAATAACAA